CCCGAGCCCGCAAATCCGAAGAAGCGATTAGTTCTGACGGGAACTGAAGATGTCGGTTTGGAATAAGCTGGGGTTCGTTTCAGAACTGCATGAGACACCATTAAGCTGCGCCTACCTGCCTGGTGGAAGTCCTCTGTGAGATCAGGAATGCCGAGGTCCACCCGGACCCTCTCTGGACATCGAGCTGGTAGCAGAGCTGCAGTTCCGACCAGACCCGTCTCGAGATACTGCCGGCACACGACTCTTTTCTTGGCATCTGTTCAGACCCAGCCTGGATCAGTGGAGCTCTTATTCTGAAAGGAGCTGTTGTCGTTGCTTGTTGTTAGAGCGACTGGATTTTCTCAGCTTGTTTTGGTTTTTTTGGTTGAAGAGTTAAAGTTGAGGATTGGCCACTCCGTCACTTTGCTCTGGAACGCTTTGAACTGCATTAGAGCTGACATGGCATCTGTTTTATACCTCGGATGTTACGGTTTATTGTCAAATGAAAATTACCAAACACTGTCAGAAGCACACCTCCGTCAGATCTGTAAGATTCTGATTGGATCAGTGAAAGGAATGTGTTATGTCTTTTTAACACTACGTGAAATGAGTCCTGTTGAACCATTTAAAGTTACATTACTTCATTTCTAAGATCATAATAAAATAATTAATGTTTTAATTTCACAGGCCGGTCACATCTTGTTATATTGACTAACACTTTGATGGATTAGCTTTATTAAAATAGAGTTCTTTGATTAATCAAAATAAAAGAGTTCATTCTTCTTTCTTCTGTCTTCATGCTGGAATGTAAACAGTTTAGAAACGACTGTATGACCTTCAGGCTGTTTCAGACACACTAACACTGTGTCAAAAGGAAACAGCTGTTAGGGTAGAAATGGCCCCTTCATCACGTTACATAACTTATTTATCCGGAGCAAGTGGCACACTGCACAGAGAAATGTCGCCATTGGTGACATTGTGTGGCTAAGTGATCAGAATGCTTTAAATGGACCGTACAGGTTGGGTAGGGTGGTTGGGGTCAACCCAGACAGTGAAGGCGTTGTGAGAGATGTCAACATTAAGGTTACACCAAGTTACTGTGCACCTGGTGTGAAAGCGAAAGGTGGACACGGACAGCGAGACCAATCATGTCTGGGTGGAGGCAAAGACAAAACTGTTATCTTACACAGAGACGTTAGACGCTTGGTTGTCTTATTGCCTATTCAGGGACAGAGATGAGATGTTCTTGACCTTTTCATGACTTGCAATGTTTTTGTGATTCCACACAAATATCTAGTGGGAGGTGTGCGGCCATACTATATATGTGAATATATAGTTAGGGTTAGGTTAGGTCTAGTTCACTAGGCTAGGGGACCTCAGCAAAGGAAACACCTGATGCACTGTTAGAATGTCTTCAAAAAAATGGCTTTGACCCTCATTTTTTACAGGACCATTTGTTGGCCTTCGCTTGTGATGGAGCATCGGTGATGCTTGGGAGGAAAGCAGGAGTTGCTGCACAGCTTTGTTGCAAATTCCCTAACTTGTTTGTCTGGCATTGTTCTAACCACAGACTGGAACTGGCAGTATGTGATGTTTTGAAGGAGGTTGGGGGAACCAATCACTTAAAAAAAAATTTAGATCAGCTGTACTCCCTCTACCATGCATCCCCAAAACATCAAAGAGAATTAACTGAGAGTGCTCATAGTGTTGGCCAGCGTCTTCTTGTGATAGGACGTGTTTTATGACTGTGGTCAAAGTCTTGATCATACAGAGTTGTATTTAGATCAGAATAATAAACTAAAATAAAAACATAAAAAAGTTGAAAAATAATGGGAAAAAAATAAAAGAAACATGGGGTAGGTGTTATGAAACAGCTGGAACTAATTAAGGTCAGTGTGCATGTCGCTCCAAGTCTCAGAACGTCATCGCGCATTTCCTGAAATGTTTTATGTAGGACATGTCAGGAGAGAAAACGTTGTGAACGTTCCTAGAGGAAGCACCAACGTGGTGATCCTCCAAGGTGGTGCTAACGAGATTCATCTGAAGACTGGAGAGGCAGCCGGTAGGACGCCGATTTGTAACGCGTGTGTGCTGTGCCGATCAGCTGACGGGTGATTGTTAAGCGCAGCTCGGAGTTGGCACTGTGGACTCCGGTGCGCATCATAAATGTTTGGGTTGGGTGTTTAGAAATCAACTTGGTGTTTGATTGTTAATAAGCTATTTCAGATCTGCTAATTATTTAATGTTGTGATGTAAAATTGAAACATAAATAGCTGAAGTGATGAATTTAAGTGAGTATCACGCATTTACCTATTTTATGAATGGTAGTTTATATAGGGATAATCATAATTTACACAATTACACTGTTTTTGTTCAGGTTTTTCACCTGCTCGTTGGCTTTGCCTTGCTGCATGCTTCGTCATCTCCTATTTCCGTCTTGAATAATATGAAATGGAAATGAAATAAAGGAAAATGAAAAGTGAAGAAGCCATGAAGTCCTGAGTGGAATCCTGCGCATATTTCTCCAGCTAGATGATCCCTGTCAAGTGGGGATTGTGTACCATACAAGAACTTGACAGTGCGTTGGGTTTCTTCAAGTGAGAGAACAGTGAAAGCAGTATGGGAAAACTATCAAGCTCTGCAGATGCACTTCACAAGTGCTGCTGCTGATACCAACAGGGATTCAAGCGAGGGAGCGAAATACGAAGGACTTAATGACGTTCTTACTTCTGTTTCCTTTGTGGCCAATCTTAGTGTCATGCATGATGCTCTCACAGAACTCAGTGACCTCTCAAGAATGCTCCAGAGACGAGACGTGACATTGGACCAAGCCAACAGGTTGCTAGCCCGGCAAATCCATGTCTTTGAGTCAATGGTATCCACACCTGGCCCACAAACACAAGTGGCAATCAAAGCAGAAGAGAAGAAAATCTTCGGAAATGTAAAGCTGCATGGAAATCAAAGGGTTCCAAAAATCAATCCCGCACAGTTTTTCTGTAGCCTGGCTGTAAATGTGGAGTGCAGGATGACTCCAACAACTTCCTCACATGTCAGCAGAACCTCGTCTGTAACGACAGACAGTCTACTCCTCAAAGATATCCAGGTCATCCAGTCTGACTCTTGGCCTGCAATGCCAGATATTCAGTACGGCGATGCGGAGGTCAGACGTTTAGGTGTGTGACCACCACCAGCAGGTAGGAGGGGTTAAGTGTCTTGCCCAAGGACACAATGGCAGCGACAAACTGAGCGGGGCTCAAACCTGCAACCTTCCGATTACAGGGTGAGCACTTAACTCCTGTGCCGAAGTCTGACTCACCTGTTTGCTACTATTTCTATATTGTACAGTAACATCTGTGTCTAGATGCACCCGAACAGCTGCTGGAGCTTCTGATGAAGCATCCACGCCAGCACCACCCTGAAGCAGGTAAGTTTAGCCAGATGTTCGTATAACACACTGATATGTTATCAGTGCTGTTACTGAACAATAATGTTATTCAGATGTCCTTTCATTTCTACATCACTGTGTGACCTCACTGAAGGATACATATTTATGTTTACATGTGTGTTTGATCTGCTTCCAGCAAATTTGCTTCAAGCTGAAGGGACAGACAGCCGCCTGAGGACATGCTGGACATCCTGAAGTTCATGACGAGTTTCACAAGGCTCCTTTGGAACTGCTGACTGGCCTCACCTCTCTGGTAAGATAAAGGTGGAGTGAAGCCTAATTTATACTTTTCTGTCTACGTCGGGACGGACGCACGCAACACCATTATCTGCCATTAGCCTCGCCAGGACAGATGGAGTCGAGCCCTCTTTTCTAAACATCAATCCGTCTAGATGGAGAACGCAAGCTTGTGATTGGTCTGGACACCGCTGTTGTCTACAGCACCGCCATTGCGCCCTCAAAAACATAAAGAGAGCCGAGGATATCTAGCAGCAGACACAGAGCAGTTTGAAGGTCCCCTTGTGGAAAAACTCTAAAATATGAATGTTTAATTGCTCCATCACCGGAGGAGTGAAAAGATGCAGCAAGTGTTTTATTTGTTGACGGAAATGATGGAATACGTGGGTTTAGAGGTGGAGAGTGATGAAGAGGTGGAGGAGGATGAGGAACAACTTTGTCTGTGTTAGTCTCTTAAATACAAACCAAAACAAGCACAATACAAGCACACCGTCTTGGACTGGATACATGGCAGCATACCACAGAACAGCGCTACGCCCTCAGTTGTCCTGGGGGGGATTTGATTTGCGACACTCCCCAGGAGACGGAGAAGTACGAGGGCAAATTGTCTCCGTGCGTGCGTGTCGCCCTGGTGGAGCTGACGGGGAAGTATGAATTAGGCTTTAGTTCAAAGAGGGCCCGTCGGGTAATATTAGACTTTAAATTTACAAAAAGACATGAGAAACTGAATGAAGTTTATCTAATATGCTGGTGGCCCTGAGGATTGCTGCCACAATGCCAGTGACAGTTGCTGCTACAGAGGAGCGTCTGCTGATAGAAGCTGATTAAAACACATCTGAGATCCAGCAGGGGTCAGTGTTAAAGGACTTGTTCTTATAAGGGTGAGGCCACTGTCATCGACACTATAGATGCCTTTGCTGCAGGGACAGAGCTGCTTGTTCTTGTAGCTTTTGTTCAAATATTAAGCTGAACTGTTGTAATCATTTATATGCTGCTGATCATAAATTGCGTGTTTGTGTAGGGCCACACAAAGGGTGTGTGTGTGTGTGTGCGTGCGTGTGCAGGGGGGGGGGGTCGTGTATGCAGCGGGGTGGGACTCGCCTGGGGCACCAAATTGGGCCGGCCCTGGTCCCTAAGACATCCATGTAAAAGCGTCACGAGCAGAGGGCGAATCTTTAAAAAATATCGGTGGTGTAGCGGGTAGAGTACCTTACCACGATTCTAAAGAGGTGTCTCTTGTTTCAAAATAACACTCGAATCAGGAGTTATTGCGGCGGAAAAGTCGAATCTGTCGATATCATGCAAACTTTACTTCAGTCTCCTCCTCCTCCTTCTCCTCCTCCTCCTTCTCCCTTCTCCTCCTCCGCTCGGTCGATTCTTCTCAAACTCTGAGAAATCAGAGGCAAAAATGAACTCTCTGGTGAAATGGATTCTCATCCTGCTGGTCCTGATTTCGGTCATCCTAAACATCGTGCTGATTGGGATCCAGACTGGCCGGGTGCCCAAATGTTCCGTGCAGCGCGTGCACCCGCTGCGGGGCCAGCACGACGAAAGGAGCCTCGTGTTCGCTGACCTCACCCGGGAAGAATACTTGCAAATCCAACAGTTCATGCTAAAGGAGAAAAAGCTGCAGATCTCCACCAGGCAGACCACGGAACCATCTCAGAACTTTTTGTTCCTCATAGATCTGTCCTTACCGAAGAAAGCAGCGGCGCTCGCCTACCTGGACCGGAACGGCACCAAGCCCGTTAGAGAAGCCACGGTGGTGGTCTTCTACGGCTCATCTAGCACCATCGTGGAGTATGTGGTAGGGCCTCTTCCCAACCCGACCTACATGAGAGACGTGACCAAGGAGCGGTACCAAATGCACCTGCCCATCCGCAAGCGCCTTGTCACGATCGGAGAGTACTCCCTGATGTTTAAGTTCTTTGAGGAGAAGGTCTTCTCCAGGCTGAAAAAGCTGCTGGAGGAGAGCTTCGGAGTGGGTCGAGGCCAGTCTCTTAACGCGTTCGAGCAAATGCCCCGCGGGGTCCAGTCCGGGGACAGGAAGACGTGGGTGTCTTTCTTCAGGGACATGAGCGGCATGTACATCCACCCGGTGGGCTTCGAGGTTCTGCTGAACCACGAGAGCGCGAACGCGTCCCAGTGGAGCGTGGAGCAGCTGCTGTACAACGGCAAGTACTTCAGCTCAGTGGAGGAACTCAAACGGGAATACGATAACGGGGGTGTTAAGAAAATCGTTTACAAGAACTTTCCAGACTACGGCTCCCTGAAACCCAGAACCAAACCCCTACAGGTGGGTCCGCAGCAGTTTTACGCAGAGGGGAAGCGCTTCAGCGTCCAGGACAACCAGGTCCTGTACCTCGACTGGAGCTTCGCCTTCGGGATGAGCTCTCTGACCGGGATGAGGGTGTTTGATGTGCGTTTCCAGCAGGAGAGGATCGCGTATGAGATCAGCGTCCAGGAGGCCATGTCGGTGTACGGTTCCGTGACTCCAGGGATGATCCTCACAAAGTTTCTGGACTCCAGCATCGGAATCGGCCGCTTCGCACACGAACTAGTCCGCGGCGTGGACTGCCCCTACGAGGCCACCTATGTGGACACGTACCGATACATAGACGTCCCAGTACCGGTCCGGTTCAGGAATTCTATTTGCATATTTGAACACAACATGGGTCAGCCCCTACGGAGGCACTTTTCAGACTTCTTCCACAACAGCTTTGGCGGGATGGCAAACAGCGCCCTGGTGTTCCGGACCATCACAGCCATAGGAAACTATGACTACATGTGGGACTTCATCTTCTACCAGAGCGGGTCGCTGGAGGCCAAGGTGCACGCGACTGGATACATCTCCTCCTCTTACCTGGTGGACGGAAGTCTGCGCTATGGCCATCAGGTGGCAGAGAACGTTCTGGGGAACATCCACACCCACTTCATCAACTTCAAGGTGGACCTAGATGTGTCAGGTAAAAGGCAGCAGGGTTTTGGTGTGTGTGTGTGTGTGTGTGTGTGTGTGTGTGTGTGTATCTGAGGTAGATCAAGAAAAGGCTGCCTCACTGCCACCTAGGATGGATTGATTAGTGTTTGTTGTTAGCTTCAAGGGCAACCTGCTGGCTTCACACTTGTAAGTAACTTTGGATTAAAGTGACTGCTAAATACATAAAAGCCTTGGTTTGGAAAAATGGGAATTTTCCTTTAATCCAAAGTGACATACAATTGTTAACAATTGTGGGGGAAACATGCAACTCCACGCAGAAAGACCGCAGCCGTGTTTCGAACCTGCAGGCTTCTTGCAGCGAGGCAACAGTGCTAACAACTTCGCCACCATGCAGCCACACGTTTATCAGAGAAAGAATCACAATGGGGACGACTTCAAGCACATACACAAAACAAGCTAGCTTCTAAACACGAACAGGTCACAGAGCTCTCACCCTTCTCATCGGCTCTCACCCCTAGGCCACATCCCCGATACCAAACTCACATTGTCTAGTCGCTGTTTCCTAGGTCCAAACTTCTTTTGTTGTCCATGAGTTCAAGTGGTGTTTTTCTTTATGGGAATCTGGTAGTTTGTTCTAAAGTTGAAGTGGTAGCAGCCGGCTGTTTCTCCTTCTCTGATATTATGGAGTGGAGAACCTCTCACACCAGTGGTGTTCTGTTGCTAAATACGTGAGTGTGTCACAAGTGTAAGACCCAAGGAAGTGTGGCTGTTTGGTGAGGCTGACAAATGGATGGTCCAGTAGTTGCATTTGGTCTTAAATAGGGCTGCACAATATTAGGAAAACCTGCGATATTCGATAACAGTGCTTAGTATTGCGATATCAATATTACTTTCGATAAATGAGCAAATACTAAAGTATGCAGTGTTGATGTCGTCTGGCGTGTGACGTCTGTTATGGGTTCAAAGCAAACAAGAACTAATGCATGAATTCCATTACAACATAACATTTTTATTGCAAAAATATGCAGCTGCACCTGCTACTGTATTAGCAGCTGCACCTGCTACTGTATTAGCAGCAAAACAACAAACTGCATGCATGCAGTTTCTCAGTGACTTTAAAACATCACCTCCACTATAAAACTTTTTCTGATGCTCCAAATACAGAAAAACATCCCTTACCAGGGTTTTTGAATAAATAAAAATAAAAATCAGAAAATAAGTTTAAATGTTAACTAGAACTGCAAGCAGTTATGAACGGGTTCCAAGCCACCAGCGCCAGTCGCCCACCCGCCCCCGCCCTCAACTTCCCCACTCCTCACGCAGCCCCGCCCCAAAGACACGTTCTCCCGCCTGCATCCCGTCCTATTTTTAGGGTGCAACGAGACTGTTTTTCAGCCCTCTTTCTGAGGTAGTCTGCTTCAGGCTGACCAGGGCCAACACTGCCCCTGCTGACAGCATATTCACACCTTCTACTAGAGCAAGCCTATGATTGGTGGGTAGGATCAACCCACATGGGCTTATGGCATGCTCAATTCATTCTCATTCATTATCATGCTGATTACCTAGAACCTAAAAATGTCTCTGACTGCATTCCTTGCATACCTAAGCAAGGATGTGTGGAATCAACCGGGCCAGGCTGGGGCCATCTGGAGCTATCCGGGCAGGGTCGACCAGGTACAGATGGGAATGGCTCTAAAAGGTTGAAGGATCGATCCCAACTCTGACCAGAATGTGACATAAGCTCCAGCCTACCCAGTTAACACAACCTGAAAATCTTAGCCTCTTACATGCAAATAATGATTTTAGGAAATTTTTCAAATTTGAAATTTTAAATGATCATAAACCACGCCCACTTTGATCAGTCATTACCATATTGATATTGTAGTCTTACGACTCTATAATAATGACAACCACTAAGTTTCGTGCAGATCCATTTAGCCAGTTCAGCAGTATAATTTCTTCCTATTTATAGCGCCCCCTATTGTTGAATCAAGCTGACAATTAAGATATCCACTTGAATTGACCTTAGGAATGGTGGTTATGAATAGCTTTGAAAAATGTCAAAATCTTTTGAAGTTATGCTAAAAAAACAGTTTCATTCGCAAAAAAATATTTTTAAAAATCATATAAAAACAAATAAGCAAATTATCCAAAATCCCTTCACTTCGTTTGGTCAGCCGCTCCTCCTCTCTTGTCAGGGAAAGTAGTGATGTGATTGTGTTGGACGGGCGGGAGGAGTTAACGAAAGTACGTTTGACTTACTATGCAAATTTCTACTAATTAGCATAAGTTTAAATTATTTTTTAAAATACTCATCTAAATTTGACTGAATCAATGAACATACTGGATGAGACCATTTGTTTTTTTTTTACGAATGTAATGGGGAGAAACATGCCATAAACATTTTTGGGGTACAACAGCGCCATCTATTGGACAAAATTCTAATTTTTTCTGTGATTGTAGATGTCACTATGACTGATTTGATTTGTAACTTTCTGTACAGAATATATATTTTTCATGAGTAAAAGGGCGAAAACTTTTAAAGCCTATTTATAGCCTATAAGCCACGCCCACTTTTTAATCATTTTCGAAATATAGCGTAAGGGTCCAATGATAAACATATCTGCCAAGTTTTGTGGAAATCCATCAAGCCGTTTTGCTGAAACAAACTTTTTGAATCTTTAGCGCCCCCTATTGGTGAATCCAAACAAAATTGCGTAGATAGGGTTTACCACTCATACTTTGTAAGGGTCTAGAGTCTCATCATTTTATCTTGAAAATTGTTGAAGATATAATCAATTAGGACATGTGCTAGCTAGCGCACTGAATTTGACATGGTGTCATTAACCCAATTTTCAATAATTCCGCGTTTTTCTTCATCACAACAACTTCTCTTCCTCCATAGATCATATGTTCAAAGGTTGAAGTTGATTCGACGAAAAATGACGAATAGGTGATTAAAACTAAGTTTTGCCTTTTTTGAGATCTAGCAAAAAATCTAGTTTGGCAGAAATGGGCGTGGCCAATACAAAAAAGATGCAGAATCATCCAAGGATCATGCCCATATAAAGTTTTTTGACTGTAGGGCCTATGGTTTGGGAGCTAGTAGCTCAAACATATTCACCTCCGCAATAGCGCCACCTAGGTGACTCGGGGTCCAAATTTTCGAACCTGAGTAGCGGTCAGGATTTTCTATCAGACTGCCATATCCGATTTTTCCTGGCAATTTCAGGCTCTTGCCCCCATACAGTATTAGCGGAGAAGAAGAATAATGAAAAATCCGTAGAAAAACAATAGGCATTGGAACCCTAAATAATAGTTAACATCACTTAAATGCAACAGCAAATTCTCTCATTGCTACAGAGCATTTTCTCCACTCATGTGGTTATGATATAAGGCTGTTGCTGTAATTGGGAAGTGAACTGTGCTGGGCCAAACTAGGAGAATATTAAGATTTTCTGAGGGAAAGAGAAAAACAATTGTCTACCTTTCAGAAGAGGAACTGGCAAAAAAACTACATGGAAAATATATGAAAACGTTTGTTTTTAACCCCAAATTGAACAAGTTTACCTAGATGTTAAAAAGCAGCTCAGATGATGAAACTGCAACTATGATTCTGATAACAAGCTAACTAATTGAACTAGCTCCTCTTAAGATAACTGGCTAGCAGAGCTTCTGACTGACAGTTTATGTGCAGCAGCAAATCAACTATCCTGATTAACAAGGTTATAAAAGCTCATAAATGAAAAATCACTTTGATGTGTGGGGGAACTTTTCCAGGCCCTCTTTAGCAGCTCAGGGTGGGACTGGGAGGAGAGTGCTGTAGCCTTTTAGCTGGAAGCTAACCGGAGCCTGGGGCTAACGGTGGGTTGGTTCACCGGCACGTGTCGGAGTCAGCCCGGTTACTATCAGCTGCTTAACGACACCGAGCGGACTCACGTTCACGTTTGAAAGCAGCACTGATTCCAGAAACCTCAGCACAAAGTGCGTTCGTTGCTCTGAGCCAGCATGACGAACAAAGGAACGGCGCCGCTAACTCTGCTCGGGTTGTGCGTCCCACCCATCCTAAGGGTCTACGTAGGGGGCGGGCGTATTACGTGAACGGACCCATCTGATTGGCCGCATATCAGAAGGGCTACATTTGATTGGTCAAATAATACTTCTGCGGAAAAAACAGTGCTGGTTTACAAAAAGGTGATGTATGACACGGATGGAAATGTTTGAACCAAACATTTATCGCCGTTTTTGACGGGCTTTGCGATGGGCCTATTGCACGTCCTGTTATCCCGATGACGATAATTTTTCAATATATTGTGCAGCCCTAGTCTTAAACATGTTATTGGTGGACGTTTTTAGACAAATGCAGAGAACCACTTTTATTACATTTTTTTTTTTCATTTTAAATCTCCACAATATATTTATAATTATACTATGTTAGGATGTTGTTAAAAAGAATGAACAAAAACTTTTTAAACTAGCTTGTTTTGTAGATGTACAAAGAGCTATAAAGATGATAAAATAATTCAGAAAAAAATATTCAGAGGGGAAATAAAATAGATTTCATTGGACCATATTTGGTCTTGTAATTAAAAACAATACCGGGCAGTTTATATTAAAGTAGGGTAACCACATTTTTCCTTCTCAGTAACCTAGTGATATTGTGTCTGGCCCTGGGACTGGGAGTTCATGTCACGAGTTGGGCAGGAGGAAGTTTAGGACCCAAGATGCAGAGAACCAGATGAAGGAGGCAGGAGTTGGATGATGACAATAAAATCCTTTATTTAGGAGTAATCCAAGAGGGAAGGGAGCTAAAAATCAAGAATCCAAATATCTAAACTGAGAAATGCAAAAACACTAGAGACACTAGAAACACTGGAAACACTTGAGAGCAAATGAGTCTGACAAGAACAATGGACCTACCAAACATTGAGACACAGACAGGGTTTTATACACTGGGGAGGAAGAGAGGGAGATGAGCTGCAGGTGTGTGGGGAGAGAAATCAGGTGAACTCAATTACTAATCAGGGA